GCTTTTCACCAGGACACCCTAGACAAGTGTCAGCCAATCAGGGGTCCTGAACCTTAGAAGTCCCTCACCCCAAGCTCTGCAATTATAGAAACCCCACCCCAACTGAGCTTGGGGCTGTCTGATCACGCCAATACATTGGACATGTGGAGGGTTCGAGTTCCAACTTGAATAAGAATAAGGGCTCTTTGCTTTTATATACAGGACTCAGTCTCCTATTGGTTTTTGGGATGCTGTGATCTGGGCATAACATGTGCCTCAGTTTATCTAAATAACTGAAGTTTTAAAAAGTGAGCAAAGGCAAACAGGCTAGACAAATAGTACTGTGAACCTGAGTAGAACTTAGGAGTTTACCATAATATAAAATCTGTTTGCAGTCCAAGGAGAGAGAACAATGTAGCTATACGGGCATAGAGAGGCTGCAGAACTTCCAGGAGGAAGCTGAGGGACCAGAGGGACATCACAGCGACCCAGAAAGACCTAAGGGAGCTACAGGACTTAGCAGGCAGCTCCTTTGGGCAGTGAGGAAAGGGGCACAGTAACCCAAACACAGGCCTAAGGGAGCTTTTCTTTCTTTCTTTCTTTCTTTTTCTTTCTTTCGATTTTTTTTTATTTTTAGTTTTTCAAGACAGGGTTTCTCTGTAGCTTTGGGACCTATCCTGGAACTCACTCTGTAGACCAGGCTGGTCTCGAACTCATAGAGATCTGCCAGCTTCTGCCTCCTGAGTGCTGGGATTAAAGGCGTGTGTCACCACTGCCCAGCATGGAAGCTGCAGTTCTTAGTAAGAGCTGAGAGAAACCTAGAGAGATGAGGGTGTAAGGGACAAATAAATCTCTGTGCTGAGAACTTGGTCTTGGTGTGTCCTGGACCATGCTTCCTCTCAGTGTTTGCTGCAGTATTGTTGCCTTCAGTAGAAATTACCCAGAGGGGCTGGAGAGATGGCTCAGTGGTTAAGAGCACTGCCTGCTCTTCCTAAGGTCCTGAGTTCAATTCCCAGCAACCACATGGTGGCTCACAACCATCTGTGATGAGGTCTGGTGCCTTCTTCTGGCCTGCAGGCATACACACAGACAGAATATTGTACACATAATAAATAAATATTAAAAAAAACGAAATTACCCAGATGCTGACCACACCAGTGGTAAATGAATGGCATGTGGTATATCCGTACAATAAACGTTACGCAACCACAAACATACAAAAAGACTGATACATGGGCAACATAGATGAACCTTGAAAATAGTACAAGGGACACATAGTGCCAGTCACAGAGAATAAGTCCTAGGATTCTACTGTCAGCACATTTCCAGAATGGCCGTACCCATGGAGACAGAGAGCCGATTGATGGTTGGTTGCCTAGCGACCAGTGTGGTTCAGGAGAACTGAGTTCAACGGCTAATGGCTGGATTATTTTGTGGGATGAACAAAAATGTTCTAAAATTTATTATAGTGAAGGTTGCAAAACTTGGTGAAAACTCTTTAAATAAAGTTGCATTTTTGGTAAAATTCAAAATAGGTCAACTGTCCAGTGAGCTAAATCTCAACAAAGCCATTAACAAAAATAAGGGTGTATTAGATGTGTTACGGGACCAGAACCTGGTGCATAAGGAGACTCGGATAGCAAAGCCGGGCTGCGTAGGTGCACAATCAGGGGCCCTAATACCACTGGCCCCTCAACACTACTACAGAGCGGACCTTGTTCTCCACTTGGCTGATCTAGTTTTGTCCCTCTGGTCTGTTGCCTCCTGTTATTTCTCCTTCTCAGTGGATATGAAAGCCCAGGAACGGGGGTGGACAGATGTCTCAGGGGTAAAGGGCACTAGCTGACTCTTCTTACAGAGGACCCAAGTTTTGATTGACAGCACCCATACAGTGCCTCACTATCTATGACTTCAGTTCCAGGAGATCTGATGCCTTCTTCTGGCCTCCACGGGCACAAGGCATACAGGTGGTATATGGAACTACATACAGGCAAAACGCTCAGTAATACATTAAATAAATAAACTCTAAAAAGTACATGTATATATATATATATATGAAAAATGTCCAGGATTTGCAAGCCCTGCAGTTTCTGATGCTTAGAACCAAAACTTCCCCCAAGGCCAAGAGGGGAGATTAATATCTGTAATTCCAGCTCTCAGGAGGCTGAGGCAGGACAGAGTTGGAGAGCTGCTTGGGTCTGCATAGTAAGACCCTGTTATAAAACAAAACACACACGTCACTCAAGTATAAAAGATTCCAGTAGGAGCTGGCAGAACCAGATCTTAGGTAATGATGGACCAACCCACAGCCTGGCCTGGCCAGAGTCAACACCCTACACAGGCCATCAGTATGGGAAGTCAGTTTTCTTCAGCTACCAGACCTACTAGCTTCCCAGCACGGGCACACTGCTGTGACCTCAACGCGCATGCAATCACTGGCCCGTCATGGTGAGGACAGAGCAGATTTCAAAAGTGCGTGGGACACACGTGCTGGGGTAAACAGTGGTTGGGTCCTTTGCTTTGAGATGGTGGTGTCCTCCTTTCCCTGTCTCAGAGGGCCCAGGGAACCAGCGCAACCCCAGACAAGGGGTCTTGGAGAACACTAAGTCATATATGTTTGGGTGGGGGTGGAGACAACCCTGCTTAGAGATCCAACTTCTCAGTGAATTCAAGCAACATATGACAGTTTACTAATATAATGTATATTAAATACATCTGTGGGGCTGGAGAGATGGCTCAACAGTTACGAGCATTGACTGCTCTTCCAGAGTACCTGGGTTCAATTCCCAGCACCCACACATGTCTGTAAATTCATTTCCTGGGCGATCTGGCACCATCACACCATTGCACATAAAATAAAGTTAAAAAAACATAGGAAATTCTTAAGAAAATAAATACATCTGCACACATAAACACATACATATATGTGTGTGTGTATGTGTGTGTGTGTATATATATATATATACATAAATATATATTAAGAAACTGAGGACAGGACTGCATGGTTGAGAAGAAGGTCTATTGTAGATCTGAGGCAGAAAACAGCCAGAGGTTTCTGGAAGGATCCATACTGAAGTTGGCCAGCAGAATAAACTGGGCCATGGGAGAGGAAGAGAGAGGAACCAGGAACCAAGAAGCCAGGGGACCAAGAGAGGAAGGGGACACGTAGTCGAAATGGCTGGGTTGTGTAGAAAAAGACGCTGGGGAAGAGAAGTAAAGCTCGGGCTGGGGAGGTCGAGGGGAAGGGGTAACTCTGCAGCAGGTGTTGGTGATGCTGAGGGATTGATGGCCAGCATCCACTTTGATACATTAATAGGCACCCCAGTTAGGCATTTGTCCTGTGTTTCTTTGAGACCTAACACTTATTTCTGAAAAGGTATGGACTGGTGGCTGAATCTCAGAGTAGGCCAGTATCGTTGCATGACTAAGGTAGGTGAAAGGTTTCTGTGCCCCATAAGCCTCTCCACCCATGCAGCAATCCAAATCAGGCCAAATAAATCAAACCGAATTAGGGGGAAAACAAAAACAGGTTTAAAGGTTAACACACTCCCGGATGATTCTCCAGCCCCCCAGAGAGGAGCCGGGAAAGGAAGACTAGAAAACCACAGTGTGTTTTCCGGGGACAGTTTAAATACCCTGTGGGAGCGCTCTTGAGCATCTCTGGGGGAGGGGTCATCAGAATGTTCTGAGATGTGGCAGGGTTTGGAGAGAGATGGGGGAGAGGGTTTGGGGTGGAGCTTCCTCCAGAACATTCCAGACTCTTTGAGTATATGGATGGCAGGGGCTTGGTGTGAAGCTTGCTTTAAATCCCAACACTCATGAGTCAGAGGCAGGAGGATCTCTGAGTTGGAGACCAGTCTGGTCTACATAGAGTTCCAGGATGCTAGGATGGAGAGATTATATCTTCAAAAAGAAATAAAAGCAAGCATTTGCATTTAATAAAGATTGAATTTTCCATAAGGGAATAGCGGCAGGGGGGGGGGAGCAAACCTGGATCTTTCCCATCTGAAATCCATATGAGTATTTCAATCTTCTGTGAAAAGTTGTTATTATTACTTTTATGGAGGTGGGTAGTCTAGGCTTCCTGTTTGTATTGAGCTGATGATAAGGTCTCACTACCTAGTTCAGATCAGCCTCCGCCTCTTTTGTGCTTATTACAGGCATGTGCCTGCATGCAATTTGCCTTTCTATATTTATTTTTGCCCATCATGAAGCTGAATGAAAAAAAGGAGAACATGACTGTTCCTAGGTATGGTGGAGGAGAAAGGCTATTGTAAATAAAAGGAGACATAGTTAGAGGTAGAGACATCTGGGAGACTCCAGAGTAAACATGACCCAGAGTCAGGTTATGCGAGGAGAGGAGGGGGTGTGGTGGTTTGAGAGAAAATGGCCCCCAAAAGAGTGGCACTATCAGGAGGTGTGGCCTTGTTGGAGGAAGTGCATCACTGTGGGGCGGGCTTTGAGGTCTCATATGCTCAAGCTGTATGTTAACTTATTTTTATGACATTTATTTATGCATTGTGTGTGTTTGTGTAAGCACGTGTGGTGAGGTGCTTACAATTTTGGATAGTCGGTTCTTCCAAGTGAGGGATCAGGGAATCGAACTCAGGTCCTCAGACTTGGGGCAAGTGCTAAACCATTTTGTCATCCCCAAATTTAACTTATTTAGAACCAATATGCAAGGCTGGAAGTGGATCTGCTGTCGCAACCAGAGGGAGGTGGAGGCAGGAAGATCAGAAATTCAAGGGCACTCTTGGAATACGAGACCTTGTCTCAAAAATCAAAACAAAAATAAAAACCGTGCAACACTGCTACAAAAGGAGAGAACATTAAAAGGGAAAAAGCATGCTTCATTAGTCAAGTGTGAAAAGAAACAAAAGAACTTTCCGTAACATTTTTCTGAGAATCCGCGAGGGGAACTACCGAAAAAAATAAACTTCCCGTAAGTTTGCCACTTCCGGACAGACCACTAGTTCGGTGGCGTCCGTGTGGACCGGAAGTCTGTCACCTTTCCCGGCCCGCCTATATCCGGAAGTGACGTGCAGCGGGGTTGCCGGAAGAAGTGGCGAAGTTACTTTTGCTTTGCGCTCAGCCAGCGCTGTTGCTCAGAGCTACTCCCCGGCTTCAGAAGTTACTTCCGAAGTGCTGAGGAGGAGCAACTACGGGTGCGGACACGGAGGCAAGTGTGCAGGGGGCGGCGGAGCAGGTGGGGCTGGGCAGGGTCCGCGGGCGGCCGCGGTCCCGCTCAGCGCGCGCCCGCTTCCCTCTCTCTGCCGCAGCTCCCGCTTCCCGGGGCCGTTTCCAGGGCAACGGCGTAGGAGACCCGCGCCCCACCACTTCAAGACCGCCGGTGCAGTCATGAGCCCCGCCTCCCCCTGGTGCTCGGAGAGGGGCGGGGTCTGGAGTGAGGTGGGCGTGGCTCTGCGGGGGCGGGGTGTTGTGTAGGTGAAGCCTATGATTGGTGGGTGGAGAAACAGATGGGGCGGGGCATGCTGTAGATAAAGTCTGTGATTGAAGGTTCCTGAGCAGTGGATGTTGCTCCTTGGGGCGGAGCCTGGCTCATTGGTGGGGGCTTGGACCCAGGGATATAGAGAAGGCATGGATAGGGAAAAGTGTGATTGGTGAGTAGGGGGCGAGGCTAGTGGGTGTGGCATAGCATTGGGAAATCTGATTGGTTAGCTGATAGGCGGGTCCTGAAGTTAAGTGGGTGGAGCTTGGGCGCATTTGCGTGGAGGGCATGACATAAAAGCCTATGATTGGCTTCTAGGGATTGGTATGGGCGGGACCTAGGCTGGAGCGGGCAAAACTTTTGAGTATATGGCCAATTGTGGGGATGGAATACCAAGAGTCCTGATAGGGTAAGCACAGGGGTCTGTATTGGAGTGGAGCAAAACCTTGAAGAAACCTGTAGTAGGAGGGTATGGGTTGTGGCCTGATGGGAAGGGCGCGTCAAAGTAGGATCGCTTATCACAGGAGCGCAGTGGGTGCACACAAAAGAAGAATTTGAGAATTGTTGGGCTCTCTTGGTGTTAAAGCAATGGAAACTGTCATGGGAGGTCATGATTCATAGGAGGAGGGAGCAGTGGGCTGGGCTGGAGAAGTGGGTGGGCATTGTTAAAATCAGTCAGATGTTTGTACAGGCCTAGGGCTAGCAGTGGGAGCTCAGTATAGAAGTATAAACACTGAGGTGTGGTGGCATAGCCCTGTGATGCCAGCCCTTGAGAGGCCGAGGCAGGAGTGCCAGATATCCCAAGAACCTAGAGTCATGAGTTTCAGGATTTGGGAGGTCGAGGCGGGAGATGCTGGGGAGGTTCAGCTGCCTTCAGCATGGGATCTGTCACAGCAGAGCCTTGAAGGGAGAAGCGCCTTATCATGACCTGTAACTGGCTGGGTTCCCTGTGTTCAACAGGCTGCTTCGTGACCCACCATGTCTTCCCCCACAAGTTCTCTGGATACACCGGTGCCTGGTGAGTGACCCACTTCCCTACAGGGCCGCCCCCACAGTGCTGGAGAAGCTCACTGTCCCCTCTTCCTCCTAGGGAATGGTTCTCCTCAGCCCAGTACCTCCTCGGCTTCGCCCACCATCAAGGAGGAGGGGCAGGAGACTGACGCCCCTCCAGGCTCTGAAGGGTCCAGCTCTGCCTACATCGTAGGTGAGACAGGGAGACAGGTGGGCTTTTCTTTCTGTTTCGCTTTGACTTCTCTGACTCATTCTCAGGGGGCTACCGACCTGCAGATCTTTCCCTTGGTGTTGCAGCCCTGTCCTCACCCTCACTTCCGGACCTCTCATGGCCTGTCGCTAGACTGCTTTCTGTCTTTGTCACTCTCTCTCTCATGGGCTCTGCTCACCCCAAGTCATCTTAGAGCCAGAGGATGAGCCCGAGCGTAAGCGAAAGAAGGGTCCGGCCCCGAAGATGCTGGGTCACGAGCTGTGCCGCGTGTGTGGGGACAAGGCCTCGGGCTTCCACTACAATGTACTAAGTTGTGAGGGCTGCAAAGGCTTCTTCCGGCGCAGCGTGGTCCATGGTGGAGCCGGGCGCTATGCCTGTCGGGGCAGTGGAACCTGCCAGATGGACGCCTTTATGCGGCGCAAGTGCCAGCTCTGCAGGCTGCGCAAGTGCAAGGAGGCTGGCATGCGGGAGCAGTGTGAGTGCGGGGAAGGGAAAGACGGGGGCGTTCTGAGAGGGGAGTCAGTGCGGGTGCGCTCCACCACTGAGGTTCACTCTCCGGCATGCAGGCGTGCTTTCTGAGGAGCAAATTCGAAAGAAAAAGATTCAGAAGCAGCAGCAGCAACAGCAGCCACCCGCGACTGAGCCAGCATCAAGCAGCTCAGCCCGGCCTATAGCCTCCCCTGGCACGTCCGAAGCGGGCGGCCAGGGCTCCGGGGAAGGAGAGGGCATCCAGCTGACAGCGGCGCAAGAGCTGATGATCCAGCAGTTGGTTGCTGCGCAGCTGCAGTGCAACAAGCGCTCTTTCTCCGACCAGCCCAAAGTCACGGTATTGCCTTGCTCAGCCCTGTGGGCAGGGATTTATAGGGCAGGAGAGTCCCCATGTGACCCTGGTCTTCTGTGTCCCAGCCCTGGCCCTTGGGTGCAGACCCTCAGTCCCGAGACGCTCGTCAGCAGCGCTTTGCCCACTTCACGGAGCTGGCCATCATCTCAGTCCAGGAGATTGTGGACTTTGCCAAGCAGGTGCCAGGGTTCTTACAGCTGGGCCGGGAGGACCAGATCGCCCTCCTGAAGGCATCCACCATCGAGGTAATGGCCAGGCTTTAGAACAGAGCCCAGAGCTGAATGTAGTGCAAACAGGTCTTACTTAACCCTTGTGGGATGTGGTCAGCAGGAGTGTTCAGTCCTAACAAGATGAGCCAGCTGGGGACAAAGGGGAAATGGGCTGAGGTAGAAAATAATGATGGGCAGTTAAAGAGGAAATATTCCCCCAGGACTTTTCCTTTTTGGGTGTCAGAGACAGAGTTTCACTATAGCTTTGGCCCCTGTCCTAGACCAGGCTGACCTCGAACTCACAGAGATCCACCTACCTCTGCCTCCTGAGTGCTGGTATTAAAGATGTACCACCACCATCCAGCTCCCACAGGACTTTTCAAAGGAATGGATATTTGAGCCAAATCAAGGATAGTGAGGAAGTAGTGAATGTCAGTTCTGTTCTAAGTGCTAAGAGTCCAAACGCTAGCCTATTCCTTGTGATTATGTGGGGCAAGTGTCCTTGGTTGGGGCAGTGAGTGGGTGGCAGAGTGGGAGGAAGCAAAGCTAGGAATGTGGCCTGGCAGAGGGGGAGCAGGCAGTTGGTCTTAGCACATTGACTTTGGGCCAGCTGAGGAGCCTGTACCTTGTCACCACCAGATTATGTTGCTGGAGACAGCCAGACGCTACAACCACGAGACAGAGTGTATCACGTTCCTGAAGGACTTCACCTACAGCAAGGATGACTTCCATCGTGCAGGTCTGTGGAGGACACTGGCTCAAGACTGTGTTTATCAAGGCCAGGTGCATGGGGAGGGCTTTGCTCTTACCTGGTACTCTGGCAGAAATTCGGGAGAAGCACCCACTCCTAAGGCTGACTCATGCGCTCTGTCCTGGGAGCTCACCTGGCTTTCTGCTTCGGAGTAAGACATTCGGGCTGAGGATGGAGTGGCATGCTCCAGTTTGGGGCTTCCCATCATCTTTCTCAAGAACAACTCTTCCTTCTTTGGGCTCCAGCCCTTCCACTATACAACAGCATCCTAGGATTCTTCTGGTGTGAGCTTAGCAGGCCAGGTGTTGGGGAGAAAAGCATTTGCCCTAAGGGTGAAGGCCCTGTAGCCAGCCTTAAAGGAACCATTCAGAGCCCCAGGCAGCCAAGCCTAGGAAGATGGGACTGCAAAGACTATTAGGCATCCATCCCACCCCAACCTTGCCACAGGCTCAGCCACTTGTGCTTAGAGCCTCACAAGGACTGGTGGTTCTCTGATACTGCATTCCCAACGTGTCTGTCCTTACCGCAGGCCAGGGCGCTGCGCCAGCCATCAGCTCCCTTTCCTCTGCTAGGACAGAATCTGACCGACCTCCTTCCTCCTGCCTTGGTCCAGCCTCTCCCAGGATCTGGTTGCCCATCAGCACAGTCCAGCATTAGCATTCACTATCTCCTGCTTGGAGCTGGGTGACCCTGGAACCTGCCCAGATGGTTCTTAGCATGTCTGACCCTGTACAGTGGGAGCCACTAGGGTTTTTTTTTTGTGTGTGTGTGTGGCTTAGCCTGCCCCCTTTTCCTCTAGTTTTGTTTTGTTCTTGGCATCTCACTGTGTAGGCTAGGGCAGCTTAGAATTTGTTAACCTTAACAGAGGGGTGGGTTGGGTTGGGTTTTAAATCACTCTCTTCCAAAGCCTGGCATACAATAGGTACATTTAAATAATAGTTCATGAGTGAGTCATAGCATGTCTGACCCTGTGCAGTGGGAGCCACTAGGGCTTTTTTTGTGTGGCTTAGCCTGCCCCCTTTTCCTCTGCCTCCATGAGGATAGATTCTGGGACCTGAGAGGATGTGGCCTTCCAGGATATGTGGGGAGGAAGGGTGTGGATGCTGTGTAATACACACTCCCAGGCCTGTGCTGGAAGGAGCAGAAATGCCTGTTATTGGCTGTTCCTCCTTCACCATCCGAGAACCCTGGGACCTCAGCCAGGGTGTGAAGCTGATCTGGGACCACTCTTGCAGGCTTGCAGGTGGAGTTCATCAATCCCATCTTCGAGTTTTCTCGGGCCATGCGTCGGCTGGGCCTGGACGACGCGGAGTACGCCCTGCTCATTGCCATCAACATCTTCTCAGCGGACCGACCCAACGTGCAGGAGCCCAGCCGCGTGGAGGCGCTGCAGCAGCCCTACGTGGAGGCTCTCCTCTCCTACACACGCATCAAGCGGCCACAGGTATGGGAGCTGCCATTCCCTAGCAGGGCAGGCTTGGTGCTGGGGCTAGGTGGTGCACGTTGGGGCATGCTGAGCCTGGGGTCTTCCTTTCTTCTTGGATCCTAGTCTCAGCTATATCTGTTACAGGGTCAGTAGAGATGTTCCAACCTCTGGGTTGGATTTGAAGTTACCTGAGCACTCTGAGGATGGGCTTTCCAGACTTAGCTGGTCTGATGGGGCAGTGCCCCCAGCAGCACATACCTGCCTCCTCTCCCCCTGCAGGACCAGCTCCGCTTCCCACGAATGCTCATGAAGCTGGTGAGCCTGCGCACTCTCAGCTCCGTGCACTCGGAGCAGGTCTTTGCATTGCGACTCCAGGATAAGAAGCTGCCGCCTTTGCTGTCTGAGATCTGGGACGTGCATGAATAGGGGCCGCCATGAGTGCCCATCTTGGTGGCATCTTCTTGCAGATGGACGCTTCACCCTTCCTCCTGGGGTGGGAGGACACAGTCATGGCCCATCCTTGAGGGACTCAGCACTGGCAGTTGCACCAGGAGGCCCCTCCCGACCCACCGAGTCTTCCAGGAGGGATGAGGGTCACAGGTCCTAGCCTCTGACCTTCCCCAGCTACCCTCCCACCCAGCTTACACCTCAGCCTACCATGCCATGCACCTTGAGTGGGGAGAGGTGAGGGCTGGTGTCTCCCCACCATTGGGAGACCACAGGTCCCCTCTTCTGCCCTTTTTATTTAATAAAAATAAAAACAAGAAATAAAGTCTGAGTACAAGTCAGCCCTTAGCCCCGTGTGAGAAGTGGAAGGGGTGGGTCACCTCCCTGCCCAGTTGACTCTTAGTCTGGGTTCAGACCACTGGCGGGGAATGGGGGACTTGGAGGGTGGACTGTGTGCACAGCTGAAGAGAGGTGGCCTTACACAGCATAATTTGAGGCACTGGAGGGCCAGAGGGCAAGGTGGATGGAGGCCCATCGGCAAGGGGAAGGTCACTTCCCAGGTTGGGGGCAGGTTTCCAAAGTTGGAGCTGAGCATCTGGCCATGAATGTCATAAACAAGCCAGGAAGGAATTTGTGGGGCAACAGAAGTTATGCAGGAACACTTAGGGAAACTGAGAAAGGGAGCCTTTTCTAGCAAAGGTAGGCCCCAGGGCAGCATCCACCGTTGCAATGTTCTTGCGTTCCTGCAGGGGGCGCTCGGGAACTGCAGGCTAGGCCCGCGAACTGCTTCAGGTTTCTGGGGGCGTGTCCTCGGGTTGTAGCAGCAGGAGGGGCGGGGCCATTCGCAGGAGGGCAGGGGCGGGACCAGCGGACGCACTGCTGCTCTAGGCCTGCGCGCAGAGGGGTCAGGGGTCACGGCGGCGTATTTTGTGGCGGGAAAAGCTGATGCGGGTAAGGAAGAAGGGCAATGGGGCTCTCGGTCGGTCAGCGGAGGGCTCAAGCGAAGGGTTCGCTAAATATCTGCAGCCTCGGGCAGGGCAGGGCAGAGCTAGCTCAAGGGACGGATCCGTGGAGCTGAGGAGCCGGGGCGCGTGGGACTATCTCGGTTTGGGCTCCTCGGCGTGCCATGAGCCTGGCGTAGAAGTGCGGGAGCTGGGGGAGCTGCGGGACACTTGAACGAGAAGCAAGGCGATAGCATCAGGAAGTCCAATAAGTAGGAATGGGCGGGGCGTGGTAGCCAGTGCCTTTTATCCCTGCACTTGGGAGGCAGAGGCAGAAGCAGGCAGATCTCGAGTTTAAGGCCAGTGAGTTCCAGGTTAGCCAGGGCTACACAGAGAAAGCATGTCTCGAAGAAGCAATGACTCTGAACTAGAATGCCTTTCTTTTACTTAGTGCGTGTGCGCGCGCCATCTAAGGACAGCTTTGTGGAGTTGCTCTCTCATTCCACTATATGGGTTCCCCAAGATCAAACTCAGGCTGGCCAGCAAGCGCCATTATTCACTCCGCTGTCTCACCGGGCCCCATGTGATGCTTTATATAATAAAATAAGCCAGTGATACTGGGTGGGGGCAGCCTGCTTACCTGGCCTGGTGTTTGGTGGAGGAGGTGAGACACAGTCCCAGAGCAGCGTTACTGGAGGGTCCGAGGAGGAAAAAGGCAAGAAACTGTCAGTGTGTGAGGTGTCCTGGGGGAAATGAGGAGTTGGATGGGTGATTGCGACCCACATCACAGCGTAAGTGGGAGCTAGGACACACCTGCGCAGCTGGCTGATGCAGATCTGGAGAGCATCCTGAGAGTGGGTGGGTTTTGCAGTGGGGCTGTGTCCTGAGGGGAAGGCGAAAGTTGTGCCTCCAAGGTGGCTGTCATGGGAACTGGGAGTGGGAGATTGTTGAGTGTCAGCCCTCCAGGGGAGGTCCAGGAGTACTTGGATCTGGCAGCCCTGGGAGAGGTGATTTGAAACATAAGCAGTTGTTCAGCTTTTGGAGACAGGAGGATGGCACGTTCTAGGGCTGCTAGGGTAACTTAGACCTTGTCTCAAACTGAAAAAGACAGTTGGGGATGAAGTTCAGTGATACAGCCTACCCTCCCCCACCAGTGGTGAAACCCTGCTGAGTTACATTTCCCCAGGCTTGGATCGTGGATGCCACCAGAGCCTGTGTCAGGGAGGTGTACTGAGCCACATGAGCAAAGCTGTTCATTATGACAACAGCTTCCCCTTCCCCTTGAAGGACGTGTATCTGCACTTCGCTCCTGGTGAGAAGGGGCACTCCTTATCTGTGCCACGCAGAGCCGTGCCTCTTGTTTGGAGTCAGTGGTCCTCAGCAGTGTCCAGTGGCTTCGTGTGAGCGAGCTATGTGCCTGTCTTTTCCCTCACAGACGGCTGCTGCTTCACCATCAGCAACCACTGTGGTGACCTCATCTGTTAGCTCGGCATGGGACAGTGCAGGCCACACCTGCCTGCTTCTCCTGGGACCCTGTCAGGGACATCTTTTTCTTCTATACTTTGCGGCCTGACATGGCCTTCAGCTCCTTTCCCAGATCCAGATCCTCACTTTTTAAAAATCTGATCTTGGAGTCCATCGTGGTGCTAAACTTGAACCCATGGTCCTCCTGCCTCAACTTCTCAGGCAGCTGTAGAATAATCATTTCCTTAGACAGCTTTGTCCTTTTTAAATATGAAACAATAGTGGAAGCAGCTGTCCCACACCTTGGTTCACCTGCTAAAGACAAAGCCTCTTTGAGAAATCTCCTATCTCCTATGGCTTCCTCATTCCTTTATACAGCTGCATAGTACTCCATTGAATGGTACTAACGGGCTCTATTGAAACTGTCCCCCTGGGGAGGATATTTAGGTGGTTTCCAGTCCTTAGGGATTTTAAACAATGGTACCGGAAATAACCTTGTAAAAGCAGGTTCTTCATATGCCCCAACCTGTTAGGGTCAGCTCTCACATACAGAATTGCTTGCTGCCTTTAACACTTTGGGTTTTTTGTTTTGTTTTGTTTGTTTATTTTGACTGAGGTGTCAAACTGCATAGGTGTGGGGAGACACACATCTTCCAGAACATTCTTTAATACATTCTCAGACCCCATCAGTCTCCTGACTCTGGAGGCCGGCAGTCTTATGATTGGTTCTCAGGACATATTTTGCCAAAGAACCTTTTAAGATTGATTCATTTATACTTGAAGTGTTTGCTTGTGTGTCCGTATGTGCACAGTGTGTATGCAGCGCCTGCAGAGACCCTTGCTGCCAAATCCTCTGATACTGGAGTTACTGACGGCTGCGAGCTGGGTGCTGGGAACTGAACCCAGGTCCTCTGCAAAGCAGCCAGTGCTCTTAGCTGCTGAGCCGTCTCTCCAGCCCTCAAGGATTTACTTTTAAGGTTTTATTTTTAGTTGTGTGTGTGTGTTTGTGTGCAGTTCCCTTGAGGCCAAAAGAGGGTGGCAGAGCCCTGGAGCTGGTGTTAGAGACAGTTGGTGGTGCTGGGAACAGAACAAGAAGTTTTTTATTGTATTGCAATCACTCTCCCCTCCCTTGTCCCACCAGGTCCCCCTTCTGCTGTCGTACCGTCTCCTCCCACACACAGAGCAAACCTTGATTTTTATTACTTACAGAACGTTTTCTGTTCTCTCTGACTGTGGATGAGCCTTTCTATTCCTCCGGAAGGAAAGCATCTGGTCTTTTCACAGACACGGCGCACATGGAAGGCTTGCAGGTCCTGCTGATGTGTTTGTTTTGTTCAGTCTCATAAGAACTTCAGGTCTCCTGCCAGGTGGTGGTGGCAGCAAACACCTTTAATCCCAGCTTTCAGGAAGCAGAGACAGGCAGATCTCCAAGTTCGAGGCCAGCCTGGTTCACAGAGTGAGTTCCAAGACAACCGGGGCTGCACAGGGAAATCCTGACCTAAAAAAAACAAAACAAAAGAACTTCAGATCTGAACACAAGTTCTCCTTGAAGTTGGCCTGGGTGCATGCCACACGCCCGTTTTGTTTTTCCAGCCTTGGAATGCAGGTTTGCCAGCCATCCTATCACTAGGGATTAAGGCCAGCCTTGTTTTATTACTATAGTAGGAAAACCGGCAGTGGCGTGCCAGGTGCTGGGCCATGTTTAGTGCCCCTAAGCACCGCCACCACCCTCCTTGGTTCTTGCCTCATTCAGGAGGGGCTTCTTATGGGCGTGGGTGGCTGCCCCCCTGGCAGCCATTCATATGGGCAAATCTGTTCACCCTGCAAACCAGAGCTATGCTTAGTTGATTCATGATGAAGGACAGCCAGGATATGGTCTTGGTTGAACCAAAAGCAAAGACCACAGTAAAACCATTGACTCGGAACACACTGTGGTGGTGTTGTAGTGGGCAAAGTGGGAAGCTGTGTGCTCACAGTGAAGACCACCATGGCCAGAAACCCTGGGTTCATCGCCTGTTTGATTCTGAATTAGCTTTGGATTGTTAACTGCTGACAAGTTTCTCACTCCCCAGATCTGCTTGGGATTGTAGCCCACACTGCACAGTCTCGCTGTAGGTGAGTGTGTGTGCTCAGCCCCATTGAGTTTGTTTACTATGTTGTATAGTGTCATCCCTGTCTAGTCTGGAATACTCCATTACCCCAAAAAGAAACCTCATTCCCACCAAGTGTCCCCTCACTGGGGACTTCTAGGCGGGGTGTTCTACCACTGAGCCATGTTCCCAGCCCTCTTTGTTTTTTTTTGTTGGGTGTATGTGTTGTTTGTTTGCTTCCTTGATTTTACAATATTTTTATTCTCTTTTGTGTATGAATATTTGTCTGCATGCAGATCTGGCTGCCACATGTGTGCCTGGTACCTGTGGAGGTCAGAAGAGGGCATCAGATCCCCTGGAACTTGAGTTATATATAGTTATAAGCTGCTGTGGGTGCCGGGAATTGAACCTTGAACCTCTGCAAGAGCAGCCAGTGCTCTTAACCACTGAGCCATCTCTCCAGCCCCTACTTGCTTCTTTTTGAGATAAGGTGTGACCGTGTAGCCCCTGATTTGCGTGGAACTCACTATGTTGACATGGTTGGAACTGAACTTACGAGATTTGCTTGCCTCTGCATCCCAAGCATTGGGATTAAATGTGAGTGCCACCACACCTGGCCCCTTTGCTATTTGTTTTGATATACAGTCATATTAAGTTGCCCAGACTGGCTTTGAGCTTGTCACCCTCTTTTTTTTAGTGTCCTAAGTTGCTTGTGGTGGCTCTATATTACTAGGCCCAGCTAAGCCCCCAAAACTAGAACAAGAAAGACCCAAGCTGATTCACCCATTGCTATCCAAAGGTCCTGAGCAGCCTGGGACCCTCCTGTCTGGGTGGGCCTGGGCACATACCTACCTTGCAGGCCCTCAGTAGTGGAGTCTTCTGTCTAGATGTGGGGTGATCTTCAGAAGTGGACAAGGGTTTGCTTGAACCTGGGACAGCTGTCTGACCTCCCTGCTGGGTATGAATCTACTCTATGTTCCCATAATCCCTTTGTTCTAAGCCTGTCACAAGAAGAGTGTGTGTGTGTGTGTGGTCTTTCCTCTACAATAGTTTCCAGGGGCCTGAAATACAGTGAAGTGACTCCTGTCAGCACTGCCACCCAGTGTCCCTGCACTGGCACTTTCCTGGACACTCTGGCATTCATGTGGGGTGCTCTCTGCCTCCTCAGCAGATGAGCTTGAAGCCTGCTAAGGTCGTGTCCACTCCACCCCAGAGCCTTGCTCACCGTTTCCTCTTCAGTGCTGGCTAACATCCAATCCCATCCATGTCTGCAGTCTGCTTTCCTACAGATGCCGTGGATGCCGCCGAGTTTCAGCCCGTGATGGCAGATAGGGTGGCCTAGAGCCAGAGTACCTGCTAGTAACCTGCAGCCTCAGGCCAGGTTTGACCAGCCAGGCCTCACACCTTCAAAATAACTGTGCTGGCTGGGAGACTTCTAGACTTCTAGACTGTCTTGGGCCACAGTTGGGAGGAGATGTACTTGCTGCTGTGTGCTTCATTTGTTATACGTGCTCCTGGATTGGGGGGGACGTGATGGGACCCCAGAGTTCTTTGGTCCTTGCTTCCTGGTGCTAGTGGTGTCCGACTTCCCCTTGCCTCCTCGGACCTGAAAGAAGCAGCCAGGTTTGATTGGACTTAGAGCTTCAGTTTGTGTTACTGCGCTGAGCTGGTTCTCACTGTGGTGAGAGAGCATGGTGGGGAGCAGAATGGCTCGCTTTGCAGGCTGGGCACTGACTACCCTTTCAAAGGCAGGTCCCCAGAGACCTACTCCTCGGTACGGGGAGATGCCGAGTGCATAAGGTGCCTGCCAGGCAAGTGTGAAGACCGAATTTGATCCCCAGCAGGCAGGCGAGAAACCAGTAGTGGTGTGTCTGTGACCGTGGCCCTGGGGAGGCAGAGACGGGCAGCTCCCTGGGCTCAGTGATAGCCCACCTAGGCTACTTGCAAACTCCAAGTCAGAGAGAGACCCTGTCAAAAAAGTGAGGTGGGCAGTTCCTGCAGGGTGACATCCGCATATGGACACGAGCCATTAGTGGACGCGTCCAGTGGGGAGCGAGCTGCTGTGCGGCTGCTTGTCTCCCAGCCTCACCAGTTAGGGACGAAACTTTCGTTCAGGAGTCCAGCGACTAGGGTTACTCACAGTGTGCCGTGCACCATGTAGGGGGTTGGAGCTGGCAGGGACTTGCAGGGCTGTATGTTTGGGGGCACTATATTTGACCACTGTGGAATCCGGAGAAGGGTCAGGGTTCTGTGAGGATGAAGTCACTGCAGATTGTACCATGTTTGGGTTTGGTCATAGTGAATGCCTAAGTAGGTGAGAGTGTGGGCTCAGGAGGATGAGGGGAGGGTGGAGATGGTTGAGGGATGGCCGTCACTGTGCCAGCTGTTAGTGAAGGTCATCCAGCGTGGGGAGTTCCTGGGCCTCTGGGTGCGCGGCACGAGTGGGAAGTGAAGTTCTACTTAGATCCTCATCGAACCCCAACTTGGCCACAGGATGGATTTTAAGCGGAAACAAGGACCAGGCCCTGGGGTGCCCCCAAAGCGGGCTCGTGGGGGCCTCTGGGATGAGGATGAACCATCACAGTTTGAGAACTTGGCCATGCTGGAGGAGACAGAGGATGAGAATCTGCAGGAGGCAGAGGAGGAGCTGCAGCTGCCCCCAGACGGCGCTCTGGATGGTAGGTCCCCACCTCCTGATGTAGAGATGTGGAGAGATAGCGGCAGCCTGTTTTCCTGCGGGGCTCCAGCTGCTGGCTAGCTCATTCTCTCCCGTGTCCAGGCTGCCCTTCCTGTTGAGCGATTTCAGTTCTCAGCTCCCAGTCGCCCCACCACCTCTCCCCACCTTCCTCTGTGAGCAGAGAGTGGCTGCCTCTCAGGGGAGACCCACCATGGAGCCTCTTTCTCTTCCCAGGGCAGTTTTCCCCTGGAGACACCGACCCGCGCTGGCTGCGGCCTACCCTGCGCGCCCTCGACCCCAGCACGGAGCCTCTCATCTTCCAGCAGCTAGAGATCGACCACTATGTGGGTGAGCTGGCGGTGGGGCAGGGTCTGTGCACAGTCCCCAGAACCATGTGGTGAAAGGAGAGAACCAACTCCCAAACGTGTCTTCTGATTCCACATCTGCTGTGGCTCATGCATGTCCCTACTCATAGGATACACGCTGCTCAGTGGTGGAGCCCTGCCTAGAGTCCCCCAGTGAGGGGCTGGGGTGTGGCTCAGTAGAGGGCCTGTTCTATCTCCAGCTCCACAGGGTGAGGACAGACACACAGTTGGCTTTCACTGTAATGCAAGCTTTGCCTCTGTGGGTAAAGGGCATCAGGAAGGACTTTGAAGGGTGATGGATCTCAGGACCTGAGAGGTATTCTGTGACCACTCCCCCAGGCTCAGCGGTGCCACTTCAAGGAGGGCCCCCCAAATCCCATAATTCCGTGCCCATACTGCGGGCCTTTGGGGTCACCGATGAGGGCTTCTCCGTCTGCTGCCATATCCACGGCTTTGCACCGTACTTCTACACCCCTGCACCTCCTGGTGAGTGTCCCTGACCTGTGGGGCTTGTTCCTAGACCCCAGAAACCCTCTTGCTCTTCTGACTGGCCTTCCACACCAGGTTTCGGGGCCGAGCACCTGAGTGACCTGCAGCGAGAGCTGAACACAGCCATCAGCCGGGACCAGCGTGGTGGGAAGGAGCTCTCGGGGCCAGCAGTGCTGGCCATAGAGCTGTGCTCCCGCGAGAGTGAGTGTGGCTTGGGGACCAGTGGGATGGTGGGGAGCCCAGGTGGGTGCCAACCTCCTTTCTCTGCAGGCATGTTTGGATACCATGGTCAGGGCCCCTCGCCGTTTCTCCGTATCACCCTGGCGCTTCCCCGCCTTGTGGCACCAGCCCGCCGCCTCCTGGAACAGGGTATCCGTGTGCCAGGTCTGGGGACCCCAAGCTTTGCACCCTATGAGGCCAACGTGGACTTCGAGATCCGGTGTGTTCTGTCTTCCCCTGCCCCCCTCCTCCCCAAGCACCCGGGTGGCCTTGCCTGCTGACCCCACCACTTCTCCAGGTTCATGGTGGATGCTGACATTGTGGGCTGCAACTGGTTGGAGCTCCCAGCTGGGAAGTATGTTCTGAGGGCAGAGAAGAAGGTAAAGGACTTCCTGGGGCAGGGGCGGAGAACCCCGGACTCCCTGCCAGTGTTGCTGCCCACCGTGTGCCTTTCCCCCAGGCTACCCTGTGTCAGCTGGAGGTGGATGTGCTGTGGTCAGATGTGATCAGTCACCCACCAGAAGGGCAGTGGCAGCGCATTGCACCCCTGCGCGTGCTTAGCTTTGACATCGAGTGTGCTGGCCGCAAAGGTCTGTCTCCAGAGCCTGGGCTACGCCCCTCTGGACATCAGTGATGCTCCAGGCCCTGTGGAGGGAGGAGTGGGTAGAAGGAATGCTCCCTACAGGGACAGCTCCAGGTGCAAATTGGCCCAGGTGGGTGTCCCACCCGTCTGACTGAACAGGGAGCTGGGAGAGGCGCGAGTAGATGTGGAACAGAGTGAGAGAACTGGGGTGTGTGGAGCATCAGCCATTCAGTGGGGCTGCCCACGGGGCAAGGGAGGTGGAGGACTGAGGCCCTGTATACCTCATCTCTGCAGGCATCTTTCCTGAGCCAGAACGTGACCCTGTGATCCAGATCTGTTCCCTGGGGCTGCGCTGGGGTGAGCCAGAGCCATTCTTGCGTCTGGCACTCACGCTGCGACCCTGCGCCCCCATCCTGGGTGCCAAAGTGCAGAGCTATGAGCGGGAAGAAGATCTGCTCCAGGTGGCTCCTCCCTCCTCAGACACCCGTTCACCCTGTGTCCCCAACTGAGCCAGGGACCCTTCTGCATAGTGACACCATGTCCTTGGGGTTGGGGGCTATGTGCTTTCTGCTAAATATTTTCCTGAGTTCTGTGATACTTTCACAAGTGCTAAGGTTGTCTTGAACATTCTGGAAATGAGGGTATCTGAGGCAGTAGACAGCCTGGTTGACACTCTGTGCTCCCCCACAGGCCTGGGCCACCTTCATCCTCGCCATGGACCCCGACGTGATCACCGGCTACAACATTCAGAACTTTGACCTCCCATACCTCATCTCTAGGGCACAAACCCTGAAGGTGAGGAAGCTGGGAGCCTCCCAGATCTTTCCCTGGGGCCGTCCTTGTGCTGGACATCTCTACCCGTGGCTGTCACCAGCCACTCGGGCTTGCTGGGCTGGCCTTTGCTCTGGAGTCCCAGGTGTAACCTACTCCAGAGCAAAGGAGGCAGAAGTCTGTTTACTTCCGAGAAGCCAGCCCTCCACACCTAAATGGCCACCATCACTGCCATCGTGGCTGGGCCTTGCTTTAGAATTCACTGGCAATGCATGGGGGAAGATGAAGGCTTGGAAGAGGAAAGCAGGTGTTTGTCTTGGTGGGTAGCAAAGGCTGGGTGCTGTAGAAAGGGCATGAGCTTTGTTCGTGCCAGCCACTGATCAGCTGCACACTGGAAGCTGCAGAGGTGACCCTCTGGGTGTCAAGGCGTGGGGTGATGCTGTTTGACCCTTCCTTAAGGACCAGCTCTGTTGCAAGTGGGGTCACAGGTGATACACAGGGGAAGTCAGCATCTTTGGGCTTCAGTTCAGCTCCACATAGGCTATCCAGGTCATTTTCCTGCTTTCTGCATCTGTAGCGAGTTTGGTGATGAACAGGCTGAGTAGACCTTGCTGCCCAGCTGCATGGAGATGTTAGCCTTCATGTCCTGGGTGCCTTGCCCTTGGCCCCTCTTCCCCCTGACTCTCTCTGTCAGTTTGTACCCCAGCTCCTGAAGGCACCCCTGTGGGTTTTCAGAACCTTCCCACGTGTCTTCCCTCTGTTCCCCCCCCCCCCCAGGTACAGTCCTTGTCAGTACCTGTCTCCAGTGTCACCGGTCTCTCAGCCTTCCCGGGGCTATAGCTCTCAGCCCTGTCGCTGGTCTCCACTTCATCCCCCTCAAGCAAACTCTGCCCTCGGCTGCCATACTCCAGCCCCAGGAGTGCCCTGGTGGTTCTGTGGTCATGTGGTCAGGTTCAGAGTGAGGGAGACCAGCTCTGCCCACTGTCCCTCTCCAGGTGGACCGCTTTGCCTTCCTGGGCCGTGTGACTGGTCTCCGCTCCAACATTCGAGACTCCTCCTTCCAATCAAGGCAGGTGGGCCGGCGGGAGAGTAAGGTGGTCAGCATGGTGGGCCGAGTTCAGATGGACATGCTGCAGGTATGCAGGAAGCCACCCGCCTAACACTCAGTCCCCAGGCCCCATTCCACCCATCCCACAGCTCTGAGCCCTGCCCCACCCTGACCTGCCCAGGTGCTGCTGCGGGAATACAAGCTCCGCTCCTACACACTCAATGCTGTGAGCTTCCACTTCCTGGGTGAGCAGAAGGAGGATGTGCAGCACAGCATCATCACCGACCTGCAGGTGCTACCACCCCCACCCCAAGATCCTCCGGGTCCCTCCTTACCGTGCCCGAGCCCTGCCCGAGCCCTGCCCGAGCCCTGCCTGAGCCCTGCCCCCGCATGCCTATCCGCAGAACGGGAATGAGCAGACACGCCGCCGCCTGGCGGTGTACTGCCTGAAGGATGCCTACCTGCCGCTTAGGCTGCTCGAGCGCCTTATGGTACTGGTGAACAATGTGGAAATGGCGCGTGTCACAGGTGTGCCCCTGGGGTACCTGCTCAGCCGAGGCCAACAGGTCAAGGTCGTGTCTCAACTGCTGCGCCAGGTGGGTGGCTGTGCCTGGTGGGCCACATCCACCATACACACACGCACACACCATTCCTGGGACCTGGATACTCACCAACACCCCCGCCGCCCCTGCCCCTTCTCCAGGCCATGCGCCAGGGGCTCCTGATGCCTGTGGTGAAGACTGAGGGTGGTGAGGACTACACGGGAGCCACTGTCATTGAACCCCTTAAAGGGTGAGGACGCTGCTGGGCATGGTGGGACACACGAATGTCATCCAAGCACTTCAGAGGAGTTCAAGGCCAGCCTGGGCTCCTTGACATTCTGTATATAAAAAATTTTAAAAGGTAAGGGCCCAAGGGTAGGGGCAGGATGGGGGCTGACTTCCCCAAATCCTTCCTCAGGTACTATGACGTGCCCATTGCCACGCTGGACTTCTCCTCTCTATACCCATCCATCATGATGGCCCATAACCTGTGCTACACCACACTGCTACGGCCCGGGGCTGCCCAGAAGTTGGGGTATGCTGCCTTCATCCAGGATGTCCCCCAAACCACCCTGGGCCCTGTTTCACATCTTGATACATCAGGCCCAGAAGTAACAGTCCAGGGAAAAGGAGACCTGGGAATCAAGGACTTGAGCTAGGCCATGGATGTGGGCTAATGGAGAGGCTGACCTGGGCAGGCTCGAGGGAAGAGGTGGTCTGGGGGATGCTGGAGCGAGCAGGCCTGAGGCCCAGTCTCTGTGCCTCTCTCTTTCCCAGCCTTAAACCAGATGAATTCATCAGGACACCCACTGGGGATGAGTTTGTGAAGTCCTCTGTGCGGAAGGGCCTCCTGCCCCAGATCCTGGAGAACCTGCTGAGTGCCCGCAAGAGGTGGGCTCTGGAGCCACTGCCCTGGCTTGGTGCTTAGACCCCCGGATGACCTGGGCAGATCTGCAGCTGCAGCTGCAGGAAATGAGGCTCCTTCCCAGGCAGCACCCTTTGCCGGCTGGGCCTCCGTCCTGGGCAGCGCACAACACACCCAGCTCTGTTTGGACCCTTTTCAGTTTGGCACCTAACCAGTGTCCATGCCTGGTGCCTCCCTGAGACCCATGGTCCCCTTAAACAGCCTTTATCCTGCCTTCACCTAGGGCCAAGGCTGAGCTGGCTCAGGAGACGGACCCCTTGCGGCGCCAGGTCTTGGATGGACGGCAGCTGGCACTGAAAGTGAGCGCCAACTCTGTATATGGCTTCACTGGTGCCCAGGTGGGCAAGCTGCCATGTTTGGAGATCTCCCAGGTGAGCCTTTGGGGTGCTAATGGGTGACTAGGTTTCTGCTGGCCTACATTTCGAGGTCAGTTGGGGCAGAGGGTGTCCCAGTATGGCAGGAGCCGCAGGTGTCAGGCACCCTCTGCTTCCTGATGTAGGGTCACCAGAGACCAGAGCACCTGTCCTTGGCATTCCTTGTGCATGTTCTAGTGGGACAGGGACCCTAGTCCCAGAGTTCTGCCAATGGGTCAGCTGAGATGGGTACTTGGGATACTGGGTTTCTGGACACCCCTACCCCAGCGGCTACCCCTCTGTTCACCCCTTCCACAACCCTGGGAAGAGGAAGGGGAAGAGCGACCCAGTGGCACAACCAGGCTGGATTTGCTGGGTTACTTGATGAGTGTACATGGTCTGACTGACCCTGCTGTAGGCTGACGGTGCTGCCGTGTGTGGT